AACAATAATAAGAAACCCATAAGTATTTGCAAACATAAAACACATCAAAATAAAGAAACTGTATATGTAATTGTTCAGAATAATTGTTCGGTAAAGACAAGAAATTAACAATTACCTCTTTATAACTAACTTGAATCTTCAAAATTAAACCCTTTGTTTCTGAAACACCAATGTGGCTGAGAAAGCGATTAATAGTCAGCCTAAAATAAAAGTATGCAAAAGTTTAGTAACCCAGATCCCAAAAATAAATAAATAAATAAGAAAACCATTAATTAATACAACTACTTGAATTAATTAAACCCAATTTCAGGAATAATTGCTAAAGTAATTGGATAAAACAGAGTAAGAAACAGCAAGAAAGAGAGAAATTGAAGAAGGAATACCAAATTAGTCGCATCAATCAAATATACCGGCATGAATCCCGGTCCTAATAGGATTGGGTAACATCAAACGGATGTTTATATAAGTCTTTATCTTTTGCTTTCACTACATATTTGTAATACAAAAATGGGGTGCAAATTAGTAGACAAGACAAAGCAAAAGCACAAGAAGAGATTATGGTCGCCTGATGAAGATGACAAGCTCAAAAATTATATTATTAAGCAAATTGCATTTCCCCAATCAAATAGAACAAAATCGAAAGTTAGAAGTTAGGGATTTGGTAAGGGAAACTTACCATTCCGCTGGTTGGTGGCAGCGGCGGGTTTGGATGGAGTGAAGTTTGAGTGAGAGAGAGAAGAGAGAAGGAAGAAAATAGGGAAAGGAAAAGAAAGATGTTCGCTGGTAGGGTTTTTAAAAAACCTTTCCGACTGATTCGGTCGCTATTTTTTTTAAAAAAAAATTATTTCCGACCGAATTGGTCGCTAACAGTGATGCGGATTAACTCAAGAATTTAAGGGAGTACATATAAAAATAATAATCTCGGGATAAAGCTTGGGATTAACTTTATCCCAAAATATGTTTTACACTAAAATAGTGGGAAGATGACATAACTAAACTCATGGGATATTCCACCTCACAGGACATCCCACCATTGTACCAAACGTCCCCTAAGTTTCATCTTTTGTTCAAAGGTATTAGGAATGAACAATGTTTGATACTTTTGGAATTTGCTCATATTGAATTGTACAAATACTCCGGATAATTTTATTTATTCGGGTAGTAACAAATTCGCTCTTCTGGAGCTCTCAATAATTCTGCACAACAAGATCTTTTATAACACCATCCAAGTGGTGAATTTTTCCTCCACGGAAAAAATTATCTTATCATAATAATTGTCATGGTCAAATCATCATAAGCAAAATCTTTTGTTGCTTTAATTTTTTCTTTAATAACTTTTTATAAGGCATGTCAAAATATTTTCGGCGTACCACATGTACACGACCAATGATATATTTTTGTAACCACATAGTAATGTTCATGATATTTCTTTCCCTCAAACCTCCCGTAGAGGTAAGTTGTAGTATTTATTCAACCATGTATAAATACATTCTTGTGCATAATTTGTATCACATACATATTTTCACGCTCACTTCAGGAATGAGTCTGCATTTACAATGCTTATCACAAGTCCCATTCTTACAAAAAAATGGACTATAATCATTTGAGCGTGCCTCATATTTACAGACCATATTGATACACAATTCCTTCACCTTTGAAGGATTATTTTGAGAAACCTTATTGTTCTCCTTTTTATAATTATCATAATGATGACTATTATTATTTTATCTCTGGCACGCCCACATTCATTAGTCAACCACTTGTCTTCATTTAGATTTATTATGCACCGCTATCACATTCACTTCAAGAATGGAGCAAATCAAGTGGGACAAGCTTCATGCTTTTTCATGAAAAATACATTATTTTTTATTAGTCATCATTAGATCATCAATATGGCGCATTGGGACTCAAACCCAATGCCTTACCCATATAAAAACATGCTAGGCCATAAGGAGTTGGGACTCAAATCCAACTCTTATCATCATAGTGCATCAGGACTTGAACCCGATGTCTTACCCTTATGGTGCGCTGGGACTTGAACCCACCGTCTTAAAACCTCTTTCCAAATATTGCTATTTCAGGAGCAAATTCGAGATATATTACATTCACTTTAGAAAATACATGTGTAAATTGTAAGTCTATAACGTTGCAATCTTTTATACCTGTACTTAATATGTTAGTTGAAAGTACAAAAATAATTTAAAATCATATACTGATAGTACAAGTAATGCTCTTACGTTCTGGAGGAGAAATTGCTCATGAACATTTTTTTTTTAATTTCATCGGGAAAAGGAGAACTTAGCATTGTTTCTCAATCAGAATGCATGTTGTGCTAAATCACATTAACAATTATACATCTAACATAATATGTAGCCTGCATATAACTCATATATTTGGTTACTTGCACCATTTCTTAAGATGAGAAGGGATTGCTTTTATGTAAGATCGTACTTAAAAATTATCTAATTTGATTTATTGTTTATTACATGTTTATGCAAAAGTGACATTATTGCATGATTCAAAATATAATATTTTTGGGATGTAATTTTAGTCCAAAATCTCATGAATTTGAAGCAAGTAGACATAAACACTAACCAACACATAATAAGATGATCAAAATTAAGTCTAGAAAATGTCATCACCAAATCGGGACTGGCTTGAGATACAATAGGAATAATTATGTAAGTGCAGTATAAAAGTTTACTTTTCTCATTTTTATGCATATAAAAGTAAATTAATAACAATAGTATCATCTTCCGTAATTACCACAAGATCTCTGACGAGACGTAATCCAAAGTTTTCCTTGGCAAAAGAAGTTGTAGCTCTCGTGGAGAGCGTTTATCCCTTTTAGGAAGTTTGAGAGGAAATAGCAATTCGTGCTGATAACGTGTTACGAAACTTTGCTCAACGTAATAATATAAAAACAAAAAAATAGACAAGAATGTAGGGAGCAAGAGAGAAGAGATTCTTATTTCTTCCATGTATTCAAGTATGTATAATGTGGTGTCAAAACCCTCTATTTATAGGATTACATAGAGGCATACAAAAGAACGTCATACACATGACATTAAACATTTGAGATCATGTAGGAACATCATGGGGAGGTTATGGAGGTGTAGGAGTTACAACTATAATGGTAAGAAATAGTGGGAGTTATCTACATAATGCAAAAGAGTAGTGGAAATAATTTTTTTAGAAGTTATAAATATCCACTACAAAATATAATATTTCATAACATGTTTAACCTTTAAGGAGGCATAAATATTTCAAGGATCCCAATTGATTTGCCATATGTCGTTGACCCATATATTCTGTTACTCAATCTCCGTAGATTTCCCTGTTTAAGATATTTAATTTCAAATTCCTTCTTGTCTCTTAAGTTGACGGCACGTCGGCTCGGGGGAATCGTAATTAGGATAGTGTAATAAATTAAAAAAAACAAGATAGTATCAGATTCAGACCAAGAAATTGGCGTAACATTTAGTTATAGTTAGGATAGTGTATTGTTTCGATAAATTAAATTAAACAAGATATAATATTGAGACTAAGAAAATGTCATGTAATTGTAGTAGGTAGGATGTAGTTTCTCTTTCTTTGTGTGTGTCATTATTATTCCCGCGTCTCCTCGTGTGACGAAGAAAGTACTCCCTCTATTTTAATTTGTTCAATATTTTTCAAGTATGATGGTCAATGAAATTAATTACTACTTTTTATGTAAATTTGGATTTAAATTTTTTATTATATATGTATAACTCACATTAGTTAATAACTTATTTAAAAATATTTGTAAAAAAATATGGTCAAAGAAAACCTTATTTGACTCTCCAAATAGTAATAAGTTCTTCATTTTTTAAATGAAGAGAGTAATGACTTTTCTTAAATCACGAACCCCCTAAAACTACCACGAATATAGTTTAAGTTGAGTTATTAATCAAGAAATGTGTTAATTTTTTGAACGGATAAAAATAAAATTCAGTCACGTAAACTAGTAAAGGGTGTAATTATTTCAACATGTCACATGCATTCTTTTTGATAATGGGTGATGATGAAATTCGAACCCAACTGATGCTCTAATATCATGTTAAGGTGTGACTATCTCATCTAAAAAGTTAAATTATTAGAAAAAATATATTTTTATTTCCTTAATTATGTCTTAAACACTTCTCTCGTAAGTAGGGATATGATATACGCATCTAAGAGGGTGTTTGGCTAAGCTTATAAGCTGGTCAAACTGGATTATAAACACTTTTTGGCTTATCTACGCGTTTGGTAAAATTAAAAGTGCTTATAAGTCAAGTGCTTATAAGCCAAAAATAAGCCAAAAGCCATAAGTTGGTCTCCCCCAACTTATCAAATTTCAGCTTATAAGCAGTTTAAGTATGACCAAAATATTTCCTATTCTATCCCTAAAATACTTCTTTTTAAAACAAAACTCTTCGTATACCCGGTTCTTTAGCTGCATATTATTAATTTCAGCACTTTTATCCAAACACGTAACTACTTATTTTTTAAATCAGCTTCAGCACTTAGAAGTGCTTTTCAGCACCTAATTCTTATCAGCTACTCTAAATCAGCTAAGCCAAACGGGCTCTAAGGCGACCGTCAAATGATAAAAATTAGTCATGTAATTAACTTGAATTTCATTACCAGGAATGGAACAGTTTGGTTATTCAAATTGGATTTCATATTATCACGATTCACGAATGGGAATAATATGATTAATTTCCTCACTCTTCTATTTACTATGAAAAATATTAAGTGAGAGTAACTAGAGGCGAATACTGAATTCAAACTTTATAAGTTTAAATTTTAAGCTTCTTAACACTGAACCTGATTTTTAAAATCATAGGTCTAGACCTATTACTTATTGCAATTTATACTGAACTTAGACACGTAAATTTATACTCTATGCACGTGGAATAAGGCCGATAGAAACAGAACTTTTATATATAACCATAACGACCAATTACACCCTCACTTTTAATCTTGGTATGTATAGTATATTTTGATATTCTAGACGTGCAAACCAACACAATTCCTAGCTATAGTAGCTTATTAATGAGCATATTAAGAGAAGTTCCAGCAGAATCCAAGAGATATGAAGATGAACTATTTTTTCTTCATTCTTTTCTTCTTGATATCATGCTCTTTTGTTAGCAGCATTTCCCAAAATGTTAGCAGCGTAGGAGAAAGATGGAGGATTCTTAGTGGGCAGAACAATTGGGAAGGACTATTAGATCCTTTAGACAAGGATCTTCGTACATACATTCTTCATTATGAAGATTTGGCTCAAGTTGCCCGTGACGCCTTCAATTCTGAGAAGGCGTCAAAGTACGCAGGCACTAGCCGATACGCAAAGAGAAATCTCTTTGCTAGAGTTGGATTTGACAAAGTGAATCCATTTAGATATCAGGTTACAAGATATTTCTATGCGACGTCGTCATTCCCAGTTCCAGAAGCTTTTTTTACAAGGTCAATGTCGAGGGAAGCATGGAGCAAGGAGTCTAATTGGATGGGATTTGTTGCTGTGGCAACTGATGAGGGCAAAGTTCAATTAGGAAGGAGGGATATTGTGATTTCATGGAGAGGAGCTGTTCAGGATTTTGAAAAGATAGACTTTTTCGATTTTGTTCTGGTTCCTGCCACACAAATCTTTGGTGACAATGCTCCTATGGTTGGTCGTGGTTGGTACTCCATTTATACGTCTGATGATCCGTTATCACCATTCGACAAGGCCAGTGCCAGAGACCAGGTAAGTTTCATCCTCTAGTAACATGTCTAGCAATGTAATTTGAAATGAGTTTAACAAAGCTTTATGTAAAAGAAACCACGTATAACTGTCCAACAAAAGTCAGCTTAATTAGTAACCTGAAAAATAAGTTATCTACTACAACATGCGAAAATACAAATAGTATACAAATTCTTTTATGCTTTCAATATGTATAAGTTAAGTCAATTTGTACGTAATAGATCAAAACATAAATTGTTAAAGAAATCGGAATTCACTATTACAATTACAAACGAAAAATAGAAAGAAAAAAGAAATAAGAAACATACAAATCGGAGTTCTCAATGACGAGAGTTATGGGATATTCGAGAGCAACAACATATATGGAACAAGTATATATACTCCATTTGTTTAAAAAGGTTTGTCACTATTTCCTTATTAGTCTATTCTAAAAAGATTGGAACCTTTCAATTATATTTCCTTAATAGGAAGCATTCATAGCCACACAAATGCTATGATAGATTTTAGATCATAAGTTTAAAAATATTTACAGCTACACAAATGTTATGGCTTATGTAAGACCACATATCTTATAAGTCTTCCCATCATTATTAATGTTTGTGCCAAGTCAAGATAAGACAATCTTTTTGAAACGAAGGGAGTACTTATTTTCTTGTTATGTTCTTTCTAGATTCTTGCTGAAGTTCAAAGATTGGTAGAGCAATACAAGGGCGAGGAAATTAGCATAACTGTAACATCCCACAGCTTAGGAGCACCATTGGCAGCCTTAACAGCAGTTGACATAGTTTACAATGTGATGAACAAGGGCAATCTAGTGACTGCCTTTCTATCTGGCAGTCCTAAAGTTGGAGACCAGAACTTCAAGTCCATCTTTTCCAACCTCATGAATCTCCGAGCACTTCACGTTCGAAATGCACCAGATCTAATTCCAAATTATCCTGCACCTCTTATCTACGCAGATATTGGTGTCCCATTTGATATTGACACCAGAAAATCATCCTATCTGAAAAATGGAGATCAGGCAAAATGGCATCATCCGGAAGTTTACATGCATGGAGTTGCTGGAACACAAGGGACTAAATTAGAAGGGTTCGAGCTGGAAGTTAAACGTGACATTTCTCTTGTTAACAAGTATATAGATGGTTTAAAAGATGAATATCGTGTACCAATTTCGTGGTGGATTGAGAAGAATAAAGGTATGGTTCAACAAGAAGATGGATCTTGGATTCTTATGGATCACGAAGAGGACGATGACTAATTTCCAGCATGAGTAGTTATATTGTCTTGTAATTTTATTACTCCACTTAATATTTATATGTTTCATGTGTATTTTTTCAATTATCATTTGTTTGTATTATTTAATTGATTCTACGTAAAAGGGTCAAAAGTATCCCTATTGTTTGATAAATGGTTTACATTTACCCTCCGTCCATCTATCAGTCCAAATATACATATTACGTCTATCTATCAGTCCAAGAATACATGCGACATTATTTGTATTATTAAAAATACCCTCTGTCACGACCTGAATTTCCCACCATCAGAGTCGTGATGGCGCCTACTCGTGGTAGCTAGGCAAGCCAACTTAATTACCCTTCCATCACTAGCAATTATCTTTAACAGTTTATAACATCAATATAGAACATAAAGTCTAATAAGAGCAATAGCGGAAGTCTGTCTTAAAATGATGAATTTAAAACGCGGAATAGTCAAAAACAACCTCTACCCAAGATTTGGTGTCACATTACTCACGAACCACTAAGAATAAACTAAATACAAAGGTCTGAAAGAAATATAACAGCTGTCTGTCTCGAAACAAGGAGGCAACAGCCTAAAAGAAAATAATGAGAAGAGACGCCGGGCCTGCGGACGCCTGCAAGGCTACCTCAGTCTCGTGAATATGAATCGCCTGCTTTTGAACTACTGCTACTGCTGTTCCTCAAAACCTGGACCTGTGCAAAAATGCACAGAAGTGTAGCATCAGCACAACCGACCCCATGTGCTGGTAAGTGTCTAGCCTAACCCCGGCGAAGTAGTGACGAGGCTAGACCGGACACCACGTAAACCTGTGCAGTTATAAATATACCACGGAAATCGAATACAAAGCAATTAACAACATGAGAGGGGAGACATGCTAAGGGGAGATACAATATTAACAACAATCCAGAGTAACCACTAAAAACAGCTTAGGTTCACAATGAATAAAGAATCAATACTCAAATACAAACACATAGCCTCAATAACTGTTGCGGCATGCAACCCGCTCCATAATTACTATTGTTGCGGCGTGCAACCCGCTCCACAAATACCAGTGTTACGGCACGCAACCCGACCCATATCATTTATCATGTATCATTGTTGCGGCGCGCAACCCGATCCTCACCTTTTACTGTTGCGGCGTGCAACCCGATCCTCAATATCATTGTTGCGGCGTGCAACCCGATCCTCAATATCATTGTACAGTCCGACTCCCCAAACAATAGTCACAATCAAGGGGCACAAAATAAGCAAATATTTGACAAACATCCCGGCAAGGGAAAGAATTCAACAAATGCAACCAAACGTCCCGACAAGGGAATAATCAACAACGCTTTCTCTTTCTTACTTTCCTTATCTTATAATTCACTTTACTATTTTGAGCCAACGCTCCAAAGAATCAAGTCATTTCGTATAGTTTCAATATTCGTATCACAATTCGAGCCAATGCTCCAGGAATCAAATGATCCTATTACCGTTCACATGTTATTCACAACATATAGAAATCCTCCAATAAACACGGAGTTCACAACCAAATCCTGATAATCACATTATAAGGACTCACGGTCATGCTAGACACCAATGTATAGATACTCGTCACCATGCCTATACATCGTACTCGATCACATAGCAATTAGCAACAAGACTCAACTCCTATTCCCTCAAGCTAGGGTTAAACCAAACACTTACCTCAAAGCCTTGAAATCCACTTAATCCTCAACTATTGCTTTACCTCGCGGTTCCACCTCCAATTCGCTCGAATCTAATCACAAATTGCCCGATTACTTTAATAAACATTATATGAATCCATTTGAATGCATAAAAATGAGTTTCCCAAGTTTTTCCCAAAAATTCCAAAATCGCCCCCGGGCCCACGTGGTCAAAACTCGAGGTTCGAACCAAAATCTGGTTACCCATTCCCCCACGAGTTCAAATATATAATTTGTTTTGAAATCGGACCTCAAATCGAGGTCCAACTCCCCAATTTATAGAAAACCTAGGTTCTACCCAAAAATCCCAATTTCACCCATGAAAATCTTTGATTTCAAGTGGAAAACATGTTTAATGATGTTAAAGATTGAAAGAATTGAGTAAAAATCAACTTACAAGTGATATGGGATGAAGTTTGCTCTTGAAAATTCGCCTATGGTGTTTGGGTTTTGAAAGAATGGTGAAAAGTGGTGAAAATTCGACTAAGTATAAAATTTGCTGGGCCTCGGATATGGGAAATGCGAAGGTAAGTTCGCATTTGCGAACATCACAGGCTTGGGAATTGCGACCACAGGGATCGCATTTGCGAACTCAGGTCTGGTGGACTAGGTTCGCATTTGCGAACATCTGATCGCATTTGCGATCATGGCCATATCGCATTTGCGAACAGTGGCGTCGCATTTGCGACCCAAGCTGAAACCCTTCCATCTCGCATTTGCGATGGGGAACTCGCAAATGCGAGTCTCGCATTTGCGAGGAATCTTTCGCAAATGCGAGAATACCAGACCTGATCTGCAATTTTTTTTCAAAGTTCAAAAATGCAACTCGACACCTATCCAAAACTCACCCGAGCCCTTGGGGCTCCAAACAAAACATGCATACAACCTCAAAAACATCCTACGGACTTGCTCGTGCGATCAAATCGCCAAAATAACATCAAAATCATTGAATCAAGCCTCAAAACACATGATTCTTCTTCTAAACTTCATAACCTTTCAAGCTTTGAACTCGTAGTCTGAAACGCGCCAAACGACGTCCGATTTCGACCAAACTTTACAGAAAGCGCTTAACACATATTTAAGACTTGTACCGGGCGTCGGAACCAAAATACGAGCCCGATACCATAGTCTTTTAATAAATTTTCATTTCCATTTTCCTTAAAAATTTCAGAAAAATAATTTCACGGAAAAATTCATATCTCGGGCTCTAGACCTCGGAATTCGATTTCGGGCACATGCCCGAGTCCCATATTTTTCTACGGACCTTCCGGGACCGTCCAATCTCGGGTCCGGGTCCGTTTACCAAAAATGTTGACCAAAGTCAACTATAATCATATTAATATCAAAATTCTTCAAATTTTTCACGGAATTTACATATTTCAACATAAAAGCTTTCCGGCTACGCGCCCGGACTGCGCACGCAGATCGAGGCAAGTAAAAATGAGGTTTTAAGGCCTCGAAAGCACGGAATGGATGAGGAAATAGGTGATGACCTTTTGGGTCGTCACACCCTCATGTTTAACGGCATATCAGGTGGGCCTTCAAACTAATGTTAGCATTTTTTTACTGGGCCACGTGGTATTCTTGTCAAGTAATCAAATGCCGAATTAATTTCGACCCATTAACTGGATCCGACCCTAGTTATTAAAAAATACTTAGCATCTTCTCCCTTTACCATCTTTTAACCCTGTGTTTTCGGCCAGCAAATATTTCCGGCGACAATTGGTAAGAGTTTTTTCTTTTTTGATTTACGGAAATAATTATGTCCATCAGTGTAATGAACTTTCTGGGCAATAATAAACGACCACCCCATAACCACCCCGGAAAACCAGAAGCTTTGGTTGGGGAATTCTTCTATAATTGTCAAATCCAGCCTATTTTCCTCGTTTTCACCACGATCTGTTATGCCAGAGTAATAGCAAGGGGAAGTACACTTTTTGTATTTTTAATGCCAGAAAAAGAAACGAAAAACAAAACTTCCAAAGCAAAGGATTCGGCTGAGGCATTAAAAGTCGCTGCAAAACTTAAAGGCAAAGGAAAGTCATACTTACCGTACCGACGAGATCTGGTAGATATTTTCTCAAATTTTAAAAGTTTAGGTAGAACTTTTCCACCTTTCTAGCAAACTATATTTACTTCTTCAATTTTTAAACTAATTATGACTGTGAATATATCTTAATTAAACGAAGAACATGTATCGCGATTCTGATGGATTTAGTTGTTAGAAAATTCTACTAGTATTAAATAGTACTTCGACTACTATAACTAGAAGATACTTTCTTCCAAAATTATCGCGGTAAATGATTACATATATATGGGTTGGTGTAGATTTGTGGTGGTTATAAGGGAAAATTGGGGTGGTGAAAAGAGTGAATACCTTAAAATCCCCCTAAACTACTATATTTTTGTCAGTTACCTACTTAAACTATCCGGTGTCCCCCAAAACCCCTCTTAACTATATACACTTATATATTTAAAAAACCCTATTGATTTTTTAGCGGTGAGTGTGATACACCCTTCTATTTACTCGGCCTAATCTGATATATCATGAGTAGTTATATTGTCTTGTAATTTTTTTACTTAATATTCATATATTTCATATGTATTTTGTCAATTATCATTTGTTTGTATTGTTTAGTTGATTCTAGCTGTGTATGTATCCATCCACCCGAACATCCACAATAGCAGTGATTTAAAGTGTGTTTTGGAGTGCACGCGCGGGAACGAGCATATATTTGTGTTACCAAGTTATAATGCAAATTATTTAAGTCATATATTGATATGCAAAATTACATTCTTTGGAAATTTTATGTTTTTATAACATTATTTGAATTTCTAAAGTAATTTTTGACATATTCACACATGTTAATGTTAAGCTAAGGTTTTGGATGCTTATGTAAAATCGAATTACGTAATATATATCACTATAAGAAAAACACAAAATTGTGACAGAATATTATGACGAATAAGTCCATCACAAAAAAGTGATGATGTGACAAATTTTTAATGGAATTCATTAATGCATTAAACAAAACTGTGACAGACATGATGATTTGTCACAATTTAGTTATATGCTCCAGCTGGTCCATTTTAAAAGATTTTTTTGGCTCTTTACACGCATATTCAGAAATTCACATATTAGTATTAACTAATAATGAATTTGACCATATTAACATCAATTTGCTCATTGGATAAATAAAAACTACTCCTAATCACTTTTACTCCAAGAATAACTTTCGAAAGAAGGGTCAATTCTTTTTTGGTATTTGAAAAAATTAAATATTGTGGATCACAAAAAAGGCCAAAAATTACATAAAGTGGACCGGAAGGAGTATAAATTAATGACAGAAATGGCAATCTATCACAAATTTATGATGAAAGTGAGGCTCTATTGCAATTTCGTCACAAAATGTAACAGACTTTTAATTCGTGTGTATTAGTAGATAATTTTTTGGAAAAT